CGGTTTATAATGGTCTAAATAATGTACAGTAAATAATGAGTTATATAGTAGATGTGATATAGTAAATAGCAATATAGTGTATAGTAGTACTAGTAGTATAGTAAATATCAGTATATTGTATAGTAATATAGTATAAAAAGTAAATATTCGTATAGTGAATTGTATGTGGTATATTGAAACAGTAGAAATATGTCCTATTGATTATATATTGTATAGTATAATGCAGCATGTTTTATTGCACGCGTCAATTGATTGATTGAATCGGTGAGATGCAGAATCGAGAAAGCGCCCCCCAGCGTGATAACGTGTAGCAGATACATAATAGAATAATGCGCGTTTGCACTTATTAGAATAATGTTCCGGCTGATCACTATTGATAATGCAATCTGATATATTTACACGCTGCCCCGTGTTTACGCGCGGTTTCATTCCCACTGTTTCCACCCAGTGCCAATACCTCATCGTGCATCGTAACACGTAATGGCGAATGGGAGAAACTTTATAACCAACCTTGTACCTGTCAGGATCACCGATATGTCGCTAATTTCGCACGAACGCAATTAACGTGTCAGGGTCATTACAGCTTTGGAACGGAACGCGACGTCATAATAACTAGTAGGTTTAGTTAGTCGGCAATTAACATTAATTAATTGAAGTCACTTTTAGCGGTGGCGTCGCTACCTGTCATATAGTTCTAGCCATCGACACCCATCGTATCACTCTAATCAGTTAAAGCCGTCGGCCTGATTTCCGCAGCATCACGGCGCCATGGAGACGCGTCATCTGCGCGTGTTTGCCCTGTTTACGTGGCCATCACGTAACATCTGAAAAAACGGGGGAGAAACACTAAAATAATCCAAAAATCTATTCCGCGCCGTAACAAAACATCTGGCATGTAATATATATATATGTATATATAATATATATATATAGATATAGATATATATATATATATATATATTATCGCATTCTCAGGAAATTTTCATGGTTCCCGATCTGTCCCGATACAGCGGGTACCGTGTAATAGTCAGGGTTCCGTTGTCGGAAACATGATAGAAAGTTGCGTCCGAAATGTCCGAAACTTTTGCAGAGCACTTCATTTCAACATTTATAATACTTTAGGCACCAATATATTTATACAGCTTCATTAAAATTCATGATATTTCTGACAACGGGTCCCTGGCTTCCTCTCTTAATTATGGCATAACTTCTGACGGCGAATGCATGCGCAGATTAATTAAGGACAAGGCACCAGTCTATCCATGGGGATATATATATATTATATATATAATGTAAATATCGTTAGCAGCTATGGTGGTTGTCGCGTTATGGCAACGCGAGTATGACAAGCAAAAGTGATTTTTTGGAATCAAATCGGTTTATATAATCTTATGACATATGAGCGCACATAATGCGATAACTATACATGTGCAAACACGCGCGCATGCATACCTCCGCACAACGAGGCCCGCGCATACGCACATATAATTATAAGAACACGCTTACACACATACACACGCGCACACGCGCACACGAACGCGCACGCACGTCGCGCACACACACACACACACACATGCACGCATGCACTCACACGACCACACGTTCGTTTGTCATTAGATGTATACATGCCGACTACATGCGAGTGTGTTATATCCCAACACTGCCCGTGCGGCGATATTTCGCGTGGGTTGCTTCGTGCAATGTACGCCAGCAGCTTAAACCGACTTCGCTTCCTGCTGCGGCCGCGCAACCTTATAAACCGCCGGAAAATACTGGCAAATGCGAGGCGCAATCAAACGTCTACTTAATAACAGCGGAAGGAAACGACAATTGCAGGAGAGTAGAGGTAGAAACACCATGCAGTTATAACTGCTCTATAGCCAGTCGGCCAGCGATTCTATTGGGTCAATTCGCGGATGTTACAACACCTGCTAGAGACGGAGCGATGCGGAGAGAGCGTACAACGGTAAAATGCTGAAACCATGTTGCAGTATTAGTCGAATTAATAAACTTTCCCTGTTGTTCTTTGCAGTATTATTGATCAGCTGTCCTACCTTGTTCATATAAAACAAACCGCATGTCCCCAAGATGCCCTCGATGGCCCATACGCTAAGATAATGAGCGGTGTGAAAATTCTGGTATTTTCGCCGAAACGCTGACTCGAGATTAGTCAGTACTGTGACTGTGCTCTCGAAGGGTTATAACTTCGGTAAACCTCGCTGTTGCCGTCAAGTGATTGACAAATGGGAATGAATGACGCTGTTATTGATTGCATAGTGATGACCCCTCACCTGTGCCACCTCACGCCACCTCCACATGGATGTATCAGTAAACTCTCGTAGTATGACGTGAGTCACGGCCACTATGGCGCTACACAGGGCGGACCGGAAGCAACACACTGGCCACACTTTCGAGAAGAGGGTCGCAGTATTGACTAATGTCTAGTCGGTGTTTCAGCGAAAATACCAGATTTTCACCGCTCATTATCCTCCGCGTAGTGCATCGTAAGGGACATGCGTTCTTGTTTTATATTGAACAAAGGTGGACAGAGCTGATCAATAATACTGCAAACGAATTGTCAAAAATAACACGTGGACAGAAGTTTTATTAATGTGACTAATACTGCAACATGGTTTTCGCATTTTACGTTAGTACGCGTCTCCTTCTTTATATCGCTCTTGATATGTTATCCTATAGTGCTATGATACCAGAACATATAAACGGTTTATATATGGTACAATATATATCATGTAAATAAGAGTTATATAGTAGATTTGTATAGGAAATGAAGCAATATAGTGATGTGTACTAGTAGTATAGTAAATATCAGTATATTGTATAGTAATATGTATATAGAAAGTAAATAGTTCGTAATAGGGAATTGTATGCTGGTATAGTGACAGTCATAGAAATATGTCCATTGTATGTATATATGTAATAGTATGAATGGCAGCATGTTTTATTACACGCGTCAAGTTGATTGATTTGAATCCGGTGAGATGCAGAATCTGAGAAAGGCGCCCCCACAGCGGGATAACGTGTAGCAGGATAACCTAATAGAATAATGCGCGTTGCATGTTCGGCTGATCACTATTGAGTAATGCATCTGATATATTTACCGCTGCCCGTGTTTACGCCGGTTCATTCCGCACTGTTTCCACCTCAGTGGCAATACCTCTCGGATCGCGATAACACGTAATGGCGAATGGAGAAAACTTTATAAACACATCTCGCTGTACCTGTCAGATCACCGATATGTCGCTAATTTCTGCACGAAACGCATTAACGTGTCAGGGTCATTACGCTTTAGGAACGGAAACGCGACGTCATATATAAACTAGTAGAGTTAGGTTAGTCGGCAATTACACTATTAATTATATGAAGTCACTTTTAAGCGGTGGGCGTCGCTACCTGTCAACTAGTTCTAGCCATCGACACCCCATCGTATCACGCTAATCAGTTAAGCCGTGCGCCTGATTCCGCAGCCATGCACGGCGCTCATGGAGACGCGTCAATCAGATGCGCTGTTTTGCGCCTGTTTACGGTGGCCAGCACGTAACATCTGAAAAAAAAGCGGGGAGAAACACTAAAAATAATCCAAAAATCTATTCCCGCCGTAACAAACAACATCTGCATGTGAATATATATATATGATAATATATAATATATATATAAGATATATGATATATTATATATATTATGTATTAATTATAGTATATATTATGTATATATCATGAAGTAGATGAATAGGGAATCCCTATTATTCTATCCTGATATATATATATAATATTAAGAAAACAATAGGAAAGGTGTTAAAATTTTAATGCGCGAGCTTTCGAGAATCTACATCTCTCGTCATAGCTCAAGAATATTATAGATATATAGAATATAATAATATGGATCCTACTACATTTACGCATCACAGTTTATGTTTATTTCAATTTCTAGTTAAACCCGTAGTAACAGGCGAGCCTAATATTCATCATTTCCATCACCATGGGCACATGTTTTATACCATTATTAACATTAAAAAATTTCAAATGCCATTGACATATTGGTTTATTTTTAACGACTCAATTTTTCCATGTCATGGCATAGTGGTATATATGTTTTAGTTATCTATTATCATTGCCCATTTTTCATTTTTTTTATTTTTACAACCACATTTATACAATGTCGTGGAATGTTGTTTGGATCATCTTTATCATCTTGCATCCTTATGCCGGACATTATTCAGCGTCATATTCGTTAGAGATATGGAAACAACAGTTCCGATTTGATTAAACGTTTTTGCGGTGTCTTGTAATTTCACCTTCGCAGGAAGGATTCTTGGGAAAACGCAGTTCCTGCGACCTCAAGCGGAATGGGGAATGTGGCCGTTTTCGCCCTGATTAAAGACATCCTAGAAGTGAGTTACATCTATATAGATCATCATCAGTGGGACGTTCTACCTCAGTCACAGGCACACGGTGACAGTCAAACAACTCTAAAGGATCGAGAGAGTGCGAACCTCCATGGCGATCACTACACCTGTGATATTTTTGTAGGCGTGAGCTTGACTTGTAAATGGATGACGTTGAAACTTGGTTTGGTTTTGCTTACTGAATCCGATCGACTGATCGGGGCCTGTGCTTTGTTTTTGGATGTTTACGTGCGATGTATCGGTATGCCACACTCAAACTACATGTCACTTGCAAGCAGCAGATATATTAGATTTCATGTTTAATGCACATTTAATACATGTATATGACAAGGCTGGGACCCCCCCCCCCCCCCCGGTCGCAATGGTACGGTGCCTTACCGCTGATGACCAAGCGTTGGACAATAATACTTGAATGACAAATACTAACTTTGGTGAGTGTCTAAGGTCACGAGGTCACTCGAATCAATGGGTTCCAGGCGCCATCCTAAGATAATATATGTGGACCAAGTTTTGAATGTCTACCTCAATTGGGAGCGGGGGGTTGCAGAAGGACAGTCGAGCGAACAGAGCGAACAGCGAGAGCACACAGCGACACACGGACACGACAGCGGACACACACACACAGCGGCGACACACAACACAGCTCCTCACACACACACACAGCACGCACGACACACACAACAACACACACACACGACAGCACACTCAGACACGACACACACCACACACAACACAACACAACACCCACACACCACACACTCACACACAGCACACACGCACAGACACACAGCCGCGGCACATACTAGCGAGAGCGGGGCACGGAAGAACGAATATCTTGGGGCCGCTTCAGCTACGGTCGGAGGATAATAAAGAAGACGGGTTAGTCGGAGAGGAGATCCGCGATATTGCGTTATTATCTTGGTGCAAGCATTCATCGTTACTGAAGAAGTTAAAGGGTAATTATTGAGGAATTACACTTAAGTTTGAATACTAACAGCGGTGAGGACATTAAAAGGTTGTGAAACTCAAGGTTGTCAAACTATAGAGAGCTATGAAAAACGCAAGAGATTATAATTCTTAAGTTAGGGATATCTACTTAATAGCAGAATCAAAATATTCCGGACATGCAACGGTACGCGGAGGACATCACTATCATATCAATTGATACTTGTTGGATTATCATATTATAATTTGAATAATATCATTTGTCGTACTGTCCTTCTAGTATTTTATTATGATGTCTATTTCTCTCCCGAGGGATGATGACATTGCACGGCTCTCTCGTACTCTACCGTTCATTACTACTAGCCTACAAAACTGTATGTAATATATTATTTACTCTAACTAACTTTCGCTCTCCTATTCAATATAACGATGGTATCTTTCTCATTTTAATGCATCGATGACATGCACGTCTCTGCTTATACTTTCTGGTATCGCTTAACCGAATTACTGCTATGCTCTCGATTGAGTACTCTATC